TAAGAAAATATCAAGTTCTTAGAATATGAGTCATATTTTTAAATTTAACATTTATTATTATTTTGGTAAGTGAATATATATATATATATATATATATATATTATTATTTCAAAGAAAGTACTTGTAACAATATATATTAAATATTAATACTAAATAGTGTCTCCGTGTAAAAAAAAAAAGTCTAATTAGTGTTTTAATGTCAACAAGAGGATCAAATTGTTAGGTAAACAGTTTGATGCATTCATTTTATTTATAGACGTACGTTGCGCATGTAGGCCATCCTCTCAAAACAAAAAAAAAGAATTGTAAATTTTGAAAGTAACTGTTTTTTCGACCAAACGAAAAATATATTTTTCAAATATATTTAAATTTTAAAGTGATAAATTCTTCGTCTACGACTCTATGTAAAAGAGGGGAATTTTTTTTAGTCTTTCTTTTAAATATTCAATTTTGCATTTGTAAATATTTTGTTTCATTTTTGTCTTTGTTATCAGATTGATTGTTAGATTTAATGGAGAAAAGTGAGAAAATTATATGAACCAAAATTTGAGAAGACTAAAATGAAATCAATTAAAATTTGAGAGGACAAAAACAAAAATAAACCAAAATTTGAGAGGATCAAATTAAAAATAACTAAAATTAAAATATTAAAAAAAAAACTTTATTTTATACGGACTAAACATTTACTTGAGTTAAATTTATAAAATTTAAATCTTTAAATACAATAAATGCTCTAGTACAGAGTAAATTAAATAAATAAATATATAACAGATGCATTAGTCACCAGTAAAAAAAATAATAAAAATTATACACAACTTAATAAAAGTCATACAATGACACAAACACTCAAATTTATCTTATTCTTATTTTATATTTTGTTTTTGTTGCTCCTCGTTTATTATATTTCATTCACAACATTAAGGTGATTGCATCATTACATGATTTTTATGAAATTTTATATTCAAGAATTAATTTTCTTAAAGAAATTAGTTGGTCACTAAAAATTAAAATTTTACACAAATTAAGGTTTAAACTTTATAAATTTAGATTATAAAGTTTTGGTTGTTTTGTTTTGATTTTCTGAAATGGTAGTTTGTTTTTATCTTGGTACTATAATTGCTTTGGCGTTACTCCATTAGATTTAATAATCAATTTGATGGTAAGGATGAAAATAAAAAATAAAAATAATAAAATAACTAAAAACAAAAGTTTCTTATTTTACAAGAACGAAAAAAATTATTTAAGAAAAATTAATGATTAAAAACAAAAACTTCTTAAATATTGAGTTATTTTATTCAAATCAAAATAGTGATACTCAAAAGTATTACACTCAAACCTTTTAAGATCGAGGCTGCTAACAAAGGGAAGTTTTTTTTTTCATCTATGAAAAATGAACATAGTACTAACTACAAACGAAATTGAACCACTAGGGTTAGCCTAGTAATTGGGTACGGAGGGATTAGGGTAGTTAGAAGCATGAGGACCTAGGTTCAATTCTCACTACGACCATCTTTATAATCTTTCTTATCTATATCTTCTTGATAATGTAAGTTAAAGATACACAAATACTAATTAAAATATAAGGAATTTGATTTCCCAAAAGGAAAAGGTGCAGTTTTTTCAAATTATCACTAACTTTTTTTTAATTTACTTCTAAAATTTTAAAATTATTTCATCATCATAAAATTTAAAAAAAAAATTAGAGTTTAGACTACTATAAAAAAAGATCCTCAAATCTCACGATTTCAAGTTTGAATCTTAAATTTGATAAAAGAATACGATTTCAAGATAATCCTACTAAAATTACATATAAAATAAACTCTAACCAATAAAAGTATAATTAAATAATCAAGAAAGAAAAAACGAAAAAAAGATGGATATCCTTTGGAGTGCATCTTTGAATTCACTTACTTGCATTACATGTCAAGAGCTCTATCAGTATCAAGCAGGATTATGAAGGAAATAATAGAGGGATCCAAAGTTACTAATAGAAAACCACAATGTGATTATGTCCAAAAGCATTCTCAATCCAAGGAGAAAAGTTAGGGGCCATGGGGTTGATAAGGCCCATTTGTCCTATTGTGATTGGACTTTGACCTTCTATCTATCACCAATCCTTTAAGATAACCTGGACCCAGAAACAAATAAAAGTTGAAGATAAACAAATAAATAAATGAGGCACATTGCAATGAAAGATAAATGTGAACCATGATTTTTGGTGGATAAAACCATGATTCATGCTGCTACATTAGGAATGAACAATATTATGGAATTCATTTGGAACTTGGATTGAAGGGTTAAATTATAAACATATTGACAAGGGGGGAAACATTCCCTTTTACACTACTTTAATATAAATTTTTTTGTAAAATGTAATTTTAATCAATCAAATTATTGAATTACCTAATATTATATTTATAATTATAGATATCAAATTTTATATAATTTGAATATTTTTACACATATTATCTAATAATAAATATTTAGATATATTTTAAATATTATATTATACATTAAATCAATAAACATAATAAGTAATCTTATTTTCTTTGTAAGGAATTGAGCCCGTGACAGTGAAGAAGACTCTTGTAGTTCCACCTTAGATTCATAAGCATCGAAACCACAAACAAAGTATAAGTGTCATAACATCCAACACTTAACAAACCCCTCACCAACAAAGATTCGGTGCGATTTCCGTTTTTTTTTTTTTTTTTTTTCACAAATCACAAATATGCTTTATAGGATAGGACATCATGAATAGTATTTTTTTTTTTTTATTTAACATAAGTGAGGATGAGAAACTATATTTTAAATATGAAATAAATTATGTTTAAAAAAAAATATTCATTTATAATAGTTGTTTCTTATGATAAATATTTCGTACTAATACTATAATTAAAAAAATTAATTAATTAACAAACTAATACAGTAGTTGCAATGCTAATCCAATAGTTCAGTTTATTTTACTTCAACCTAAAGAAATAAGTGAGATTTTGAAGCTGACAT